GGGTCCGGGCTGGGGATTCGAACCTGCCACCTTAGGTGTACGTGGCTGGCGCCTTAGCCGGTTGAGCTATAGGCGCCGAGCCTCGTACAGTAGTCTTAAAGGTCAGGTTACTGTCTTCCTTATGTATTTAGAATAGGATGTGGGAACTGACATATAATTTTCTTGTTCAGATGCTATTGTCAAAATCCTGGCTGTGAACTCTCCGAAATTCTTACTTTCAGCTCTGCCTTCAGCTCACTTACTTTCGCCTCTTTGTTGAAAAAAAATCCCAGCCTCGATAAGAATAAAATATGCACAGGCATTTATAATCATTCAGTGTGGCATCCTAGGTAATTAGACCATGCATCATATTTATGTGTTTGTATATACACTAAAGGATGAAATGAATATTTGGATGGTATTCTCTCCTTGGCAAAAATCCTTTTTAAAAGTTAGATTAAAAAAGGTATCTTATTTGCTGGGCATTGTGGCGGGTGCCTGTAGTCCCAGCTACTTGGGAGGCTGAGGCAAGAGAATCGCTTAAGCTGAAGAATTTGAATTTGAAGTTGCAGTGAGCAGTGACGCCACGGCACTCCACCGAGGGCGACATAGTAAGACTCTGTCTCAAAAAAAAAAAAAAAAGGTGTGTGTGTATATGTACACACACACATACACATATATATGTATGTCCCATATCAGTTTCCTGTTGCATTTGCCATTTGGCTGCTATTTAAGAGGAAAATATCTTTACTAATATATAAATTCACATTGTTTTGTTTTATGTTTTAAATCTGAGCTATCTGATCATGCATCATGGAAATGAAGTACTTGTCCTACTAGTTCTATAGCAGCATCTTATTTAAAAACCCTGTTTCAATAATACTTTAAAGAAACAATGTTATAAATAATGCAATAATGTCACTCTAACTCCAATGACTGAAGAAATACTCATTTTTTATCTTATTAGCTTCATCTTTTCTAAAGTGAATTTATTTTTGCTTTATCAGTAACAACTAATTTTTCTTCATAATTTGAAGAAAATATTGATCCACAAATGTTTGCAATGTCTACTTAGTGCCTATTACTGCATGTGAGATTCTGTATATCTTAACCCATTTTAAAAAAGCATCCTTGTCTGTTTTGAGAACATTGACTATGTCCACTGTGTTTCTGAAAGTTTCCGTGTCACTAAGATACCAGGCTGGGGCAATTTAATACTGTATCAGAGGTTCTTTGTTACATATTTATCAAAACAGGTTCTGTATAAAAATTTATTTTATGTAAAAGTCCTCTTTTAGACTATAAAAGAAAACATCGTTATTGATAGCTCGTTGGCAGCTTAGTTCCTTTCAGACATGCTTTATATCTGTATTTGGTTTTTAAAATACAGTATTTTACACTTACAAGTTGTGGGCTTGTTTCCACGTATCTCTTATGGTATAGTTCTTGAGCAATTTCCTGAAAAATACGCCGAGCACTCTTCTTCTGTAAATACGAATGAGAAGAAAATGTTTTTCTTTGAGGACTATTAGCAATGATTGTTGCATCAGAGCTTTTTCTTTCTTAGAAACTACTCCCCTTCACCTATACCTACAGTTAACTGTTTTGTATTTTGAGTACATTAAATTGAATGTGTGGTTGCAAACTGTCAAATTTAAATCACAGTTTACCACTTGAGATTATATTATCTTTGAGTTTTTCAATAATAGGAAAGAAACATTAGCTTTTATGGCTGAAAGTTAACCATGGTATTCTCTATTTCTTAAAATGTTTTAGATTTCAAATAGTTACAGCCAGGCACAATTTAAAAAAATATTTTGCAAGTGTTAGTCTGTACCTTTTGGGAATCTTCTTTTGTTTCTTTGTTTCTTAGAGTATTAGATTTTGACTGCTGAGAAGGAAAGAAAGGTATATAAAACATCTTATGCATTCGCAATTGTGTCAGATAATTTCATACCATATTAAGATTAACTTAATATTTATACACAATAAGAGATCATTTTTATCATTTCTTAGGTGCTTTTATTCCATTAAGAAACTAATTGAACGACTCAGTTGATTGCAGGATTTATAGTATTCGTACCATTTACATGTACATACCCTGTCTTATAACATATGCTCAGCCAAAGGATGCTCTTTGTCCATAACTTTAGGCCTTCTTGCGTATTTTAAGGCAGCTTCTAGTCTCTTTATTATAACTCCTTTTTGTTCTTAAAGACTATTCTTAGGGCTTCATATATAACAATAATGTTCACTCCACCCCCTCGCCTCTCACTCCAGCAGCAGAAAGATAGGTCCTTCTTTAAAGCCCATGTATTACTAGGCTTTAAAGAGAAAACCCCATAAATTGTGTACTCTGGTTAATCATTTCAGTGATGAGAATTTATGCCTTCTTTTATAGCCCTATCCTGCAGGTGATGTTCCCTGCAGATGCAAAGGAAGATGTTAATTAGATGAGCTATTTCTGAGGCTCATAACTTGTGGAGAGACAGAAACTATTTTCCTTATGGTAACATTGAAGGTTATGGGAACATTCAGTGCAAGAAAATGTGACTTACTTTGTAGAAGAGTATGAAGATGACACATACACCAATAATGTAGATAGAGAGCAGTGACAGGAGAGCTATCAGGAAACTCTGTACTTCTTTACTGAGAAGCTTAATTTCTTAATTACAAAAACAAAAAGAAACAGTCACCACTGAAGCACATTCTTGCATGTACACATATAAAATAGAACCAAAGCTGCATGCTAGAGGTGAAACGTGAACTTACTCTGCTTGCCAATTATATAAAGATTTGTTCAGAGTTTCTTCATTCAAAAGACACTTAGGTATTTGATAGTTAAAATTAGCTCATCACTTCTTTTAATACATTATACCAAAAATGTTACTCATTTTTTAAAATAATGCTGAGAGTCACTTTTTATGTAAAGCATTACTTGGAGTTAGATGAACATTTCAAGACAGTTTGTTCAAGGCCATTTATTGGTAGAATGGTGACCAAGTGCCATCAAGGGTCTCCTTATGCAGTCAAGACATTTCCATATGTGTTGGTTAATGCTGACATTGATAGCCTTGGAATTGGTTAGCGTGCATAGCCGTGTAGTGCAGTCTGTAAGTGAACCTGAGAAGGCCATAGCTGAGAGTCATAGTGCTCAGCACTTGCTTAAAAGATAGGCATTGTTACTGTTACATGTACTTGTCCTTCTCTATAATAAAGTTCTGGAAGTAAAATTATTAAATTCACTTTTACATTTGGAATTTCTCTCTCCTAATAGAAAGTATCCTGTGCTCTAGGTAGAAATTAAGTAACATTCTATATCTTCAAGTACCTGATTATTTGAAGTACAAAATACAATTATGTTTGTAATTATTACCCAAATAACCTATACTTTCCAACTAAATATCCCACAGATGTTTATCCTATGAACTCAATGTGTACAACATACATTTTTATTTGTGAAACTAATGAATTAACTACATCTATCCAACTCTGAAAGAAAAAGTTTCAGTTCTAAATTAGGAGCTCTATAGAAAAGTCAGGAGGTTTCGTTTTCTGTCTTCACACGGCCTCATTTCTGTTCATAAAAGGCTTGTGATTGTAAAGATCTTCCTCTCTCTATAAGTCATTTGTCCTTTTGATTAACTTTTTTTTTGAGACAGAGCCTCCAGCTGTTGCCCTGGGTAGAGTGCCATGGCATCACAGCTCACAGCAACCTCCAACTCCTGGGCTCAAGCGATTCTCCTGCCTCTGCCTCCCAAGTAGCTGGTGCCTGCCACAACGCCGACCTATTTTTTGGTTGCAGCTGTCATTGTTGTTTGGTGCGCCTGGGCTGGATTCGAACCTGCCAGCTCAGGTGTACGTGGCTGGCGCCTTAGCTGCTTGAGCCGCAGATGTTGAGCCAGATTAACATTTTTTTATAGAAGGCTAATGTGGTGAGAGAGGTGGGAACCTGCGGCCTCAAGGTCACATGTGGCCCTCCAGATCCCCAAGTATGGCCTGTTGAATGAATCCACACTTCATAAAACAAATCTTTTTATTAAAAGGATTTGCTCTGTAAAATTTAGATTCTGTCATAAGGTTGCATTCAAGGATCCAGAGGGCCACACATGGCTCCAAGGCTGCAGGTTCCCCACTCCCTGAGAATAAACTAAAGTTAAATGGCATTCGAATAGCCGAAGCCCATTAGGATACCCCTGGTATATACTACTGGACAATTTCAGACCCTCAGAGTCATATTATAAAAACTGAAGGGCTAGTGATTTTCAACTTGTTTTAATGATCTTAGTGCTCTTGGTTTTTAAGGAAAGAGATCCAAAAAAGGAGTTACTGCTCTTCTCTTTCTTCATTCAGAATTATGTGAAACTTTTTCTCTGAAATTTCTTAATCTCTGATTACTCAAGGGAATGACTTGGTGACATTAAGGATAGGATTCAGCTAGGTTTGATGTCTTCACTTGGGTGAGGAATTGTCATGGGGTTTAGCAAATCTCAGAATGTGAGAGCCATCACTTCCAGTTCTTTGATGTCCAGGCAGAATGAGAAGGTTCAGGATCCTCCAGTGGCTTCTCTGCAAATTTGTGCTAATTCTCCATAAGGCATATTTTCTGTGGTCCCAAACATTGTCATCATTTATGTTTCTCTAGAGCCTTGTTCTAGGTGGTACATACGAGATCAGTTTCTGAGAAAGCTGATTGTTGTGCATCACAAATTTCCCTTGGTATGGTACACCAAATCATTGTAATGTACAGAAGGATGAATGTGTCGGCCCTCACAAGTAAAGTCTGGATGAGAGAGAGAGAGAATATAGAACCTGCACACCACTGACTCTGTGGATATTGAGAAGTGAGGTTGGAGGAGTTCTTTTAATCCAAATCTCATGACAACTTGTGCTCAGATCATGCCCTCCCTAACTGGGGTATGAAGTTAGCAAACTTATCTCATGATTTCTGCATGTAAGTAAGTGCCATAATAATGATTTTAAAGGTCTGAGCAAAATGCAATGATGCACTGAAATAAAGCTGAACGGACTGACCTCTTACTACCAGCGTGGTCCCTCCTCCGGTTTGCTTAGCTCTCGGTCCTGGTGCATTAGCAAACGCTATTCCACAGATGTAAATTGCACTGTCATTTGCAGTCACTCTGTTTACAGTGAGGGACACTTGGTTTTCTGCCAAGGTTTCCCTTACTGTGAATTTGTCGGCTTCACTTCTGCATCCACTCAAGCACAGGTTCTCGGGCTGGCGAGCTCCGTAGCGAAACCACAAGCTTGTTGGAAGTGCTGAAGGGCATCCAGTAGCAGAGAAGGTGCACTCTATGGTGACAGCCTTTTGAGTGTAGTCCACTTCTAGGTAATGTGGTTGTGTGATAGAGACAGTACAGGCACCCACAGCACCTGCGGGAGGAAGCAGATGGTGGTTGAGTGGAGTTGGCTTCTCATTTCACTTTGCCTGTGCTTGTGTTTTACTGAAGTTTTTGGGCTAGGAAACCCAAATCACATAAGACTACATAAATGGATGCCAGTGGTCCTCACTTGTCCTAACTCCTTGTGTTTCAGGCATTCTGGCATTTACCTGCTGGTTTGTGTGATGTCTGGTTACCTGAGGACAGTCCCAGAGAGGTTCCAGTGAAATCAGTGTCATAAGCAGAGGTATCTGGCATCAGGAGTTTGGGGTCCAGGTGTACATCGTTGCTACTTACAAGCTTTCCTTTGATCTGTACAGATCACATGATCTCCCAGCCCTCTTCATCTATACCCCTCGCCTCACGGGATTGTTTTCAGTGTGGTGACCTGTATCAAAGTTTCTCATACACATGTTGCAGCCACTGATTGAGCACATGAGCAGTAGTGATGTTTTGGCTTTGTGGAGGTTGGGATTGCTAGGAATTGATGGCAGTTCACAATTGCTTCTTTGTGAGCCTGCTGTCCCTTTGGGAAACATGATAAAAGGCAAGATGTACACCTGTGGAAATTCAGCACTGGCTTACCCTACAATGTCTTTGATTGCCAGGCAGAGGCCAAATAAGCTAGCCATGCTATGGCTAGGCAGATTTCATTTCTTCCTGGCACGTGTACACTGCTGTGTGGGTCCTTGTAGCATTTCTCTTATTTGATTACCAATATTGTGGTAAAGAATGTAGACTTGAGTTTAGATCTTGTCTTAATCTCAAGCCATCTTTCAGATGAAGTTTTAAAAAGGGAGGCTAAGGAGCTGGGCACAATGGCATATGCCCATTGAGAGGCTAAGGTGGGAGGATTACTTGAGGTCAGCCTGGGTAATACAGCAAGACCCCCGTATCTATAAAAGAAATACTTAAAAAAAAAAAAAGGCTCAGCGCCTGTGGCTCAAGTGGCTAAGGCGCCAGCCACATACAACTAAGGTGGTGGGTTCGAATCCAGCTCAGGCCGCCAAACAATGACGGCTGCAACCAAAAAAAAAAAATAGCCAGGCGTTGTGGTGGGTGCCTGTGGTCCCAGCTATTTGGGAGGCTGAGGCAGGAGACTCGCTTGAGCCCAGGAGTTGGAGGTTGCTGTGAGCTGTGGTGCCACGGCACTCTGCCCAGGGGGATAGCTTGAGGCTCTGTCTTAAAAAAAAAAAGAGAGGGAAGCTGACTTTTGACACTTTCTTTTAAGAACTAGCAGCATAGGATAAAATAAATATTTGCAACTTGGGAGTTTCATATCTGTACTTATTTCCAACTTCCATGAAATTAGTGTATGTGTGAGAGAAAACCAGTTATAGTAGTTTCCTGAGGAAGCAGGGACCTGTGAGGAAACTGCTGGCTCCCCCCTGCCCCAATTAAGCAATCTATTAGCCAAAAAGAGAAGTTTGGATAATGTGTTACACTACAGCTGTTCCTGTGGCGCTTGTGGCTCACTGGGTAGGGTGCTGGCCCCATATGCCGAGGGCGGCAGATTCCATCCTGGCCCTGGCCAAACCACAACAAAAAATAGCTGGGCGTTATGGCAGGTGCCTGTAGTCTCCGCTGCTCGGGAAGCTGAGGCAGGAGAATCGCCTAAGCCCAGGAGTTGGAGGTTGCTATGAGCTGTGACACCATGGCACTTTGCTGAGGGCTATAAAGTGAGACTCTGTCTGAAAAAAAAAGAATTCTTACATATCTTTTTTAAAGGGTTGGAGTGTTGCTTTGTTGCCCAGTCTGGTCTTGAACTCCAAGGTGTTTTTGTTTTTTTAAGTATAATATCCACTGAAAAGTTTGAAAGTTTATCTCAGTAGAAGGAATAAAATATTCTTTTTACTATTTTTTTTTTTTTTGCAGTTTTTGGCCAGGGCTGGGTTTGAACCCACCACCTCTGGCATATGGGGCCAGTGCCCTACTCCTTAGAGCCTCAGGCGCTGCGCCTCTTTTTACTATTTTTAAAAACCACATTAGAGAATTAATAGATAACTAATGTTTGACACTTAAAGCTTTTTATTATAGAAAAATCTTAACATATGTAGAAGCAGGGCCCTAGCACAGTGAACCTCCTGCTGTCGTGGTTTCAGCCAAATCTTGTCAAATCTTGTTTCCTCTCTCTCCCCGTCTCCTCCCTCCCTCTCATATTACATTAGAGCATATCCTTGCCATTGTATCTGCGTGTCTCTCAGAATATATTTTTAAAAGATGAGGATTCTGGCTCGGCGCCTATAGCTCAACTGGCTAAGGCGCCAGCCACGTACACCTAAGGTGGCGGATTCAAATCCCCAGCCCGGACCCGCCAAACAACAATGACGGCTGCAACCAAAAAAAAACTGGGCGTTGTGGCGGGCACCTGTGGTCCCAGCCTCTTGGGAGGCGGAGGCAAGAGACTCGCTTGAGCCCAGGAGTTGGAGGTTGCTGTGAGCTGTAATGCCACGGCACTCTAGCCAGGGGGATAGCTTGAGGCTCTGTCTCAAAAAATAAAATAAAATAAAAAAAAAAAAGATGAGGATTCTTCTTTAACATGAATTAAATATTTTGTAAAACTAACATATACTTATTAGAAAAAAATAGAATATTACTGAAAGTGGAAGCAAGAAGAAAGCCGTAATTCTTTCATCCAGAATAACTACTGTGAACAGTTTGTGTGCTTCTTGATAGATGAGAAAAAATTACTTTCAGAAGCTTTCTACTCTCTTTCCTGCTCTGTAATCCAGGCCTGAGATTATTAGAACTATGATGTAGGAGACACTTTCTCTTTCATAGAGACAAAAATGAGTATAGGCAGAATTTGTAAAATATAGTATAGTAGGATTATTCTCTCTAGAAGGAGTCATGTTAGCTTTTTTTTTTTAATGACAGTTTTTTTTTTATTATGGAAAGTTAGCTTTTCAGAAACACTGTTCCTGGAAAATACTCAACAAATACTGCTTATTGCTCACTCTGTGCAGAGCAACTTTGCCTGTATGGCAATGATATGTTTGGTGACTAGCCTACGTGGTTTTTAGAACCCTTTGTTTGACGAGGTGCTCTCTAAAGCAGCATAATAACAAAAGGAATTTTCAAGGTTAATAAGAAACTTGCCAGCTGTTCTCCTATCCCCTGTTTCTCTGGGGAAAAAGGAAACTTAGCACCTTAAACAATTTTTATAATGTTACACATTTAAAAATTATTGTATAAAAGTTTAAAATACAAATGCATTAGATGAAAAGTAGCAGTTGATTTAAATAAAATGGGGGAGGAGAAAGAAAAGAACCTTACCGACATAAAGCAGGATCAGACTGAGGCGCAGGCGGAGAGCGAAGTTGCCTCCTTTCACAGTCCTCATTTCTGTCCGTGTGTTGAGAGGGCTTGGGGTCTGGATTTTAAAGGAGAGTTGGCTTTCTTTTTTTCTTCCTCCTTTCTCTTTTCGGAAAGGAAGAACTGAAGAGAGGAACCTCTTATTAAGGAACCATAATCAGGAACTTCTTTGAAATTGTGTAAAAATGGCTTGGAACACAGTTTAACCATTTCACATTGAGATTTTAACCTGGAGCATATTTCTAAATGTGCATTTTTCCCCTCCTGGATTTTACAAATCCTCACAGGTGTTAAGGTATTTTTGGGCAAGATTTTGATTTGGATATAACATAGTCCCAGGAAGGGGTATTGTTTGATAGAAAATTAGTACTTCAGCTTTCCAGAGGAGTGTGGTGCTGCTGGTCTCGGGTCGCCCCTGCTGTGTGCCCAGGCCAGCAACTACTGGGAAGGGAGAAGCAGCAGCAGAAGGAAGTGCCTTTGTGTAGAGCAAGAGAAAAATTAGTGAACAGCACATCCTAGTATAATAAAGAAATCCATTGTCTGTCATTAGCCAGTTGTGCTTAGTTTTGAATTCAAAGACACTTTCCTAATGCACTGTAAAACAGACAGTGGGCCCTCTGTCCTCCAGGTCCCCTTCCCTTGTTCCTGGAGGTATTTTCAGTTAGCGTCATTTTTGTAAGCAGCAGGAACAGACTGAAGCTAACTTTAGCAAAAGGAAATTCATTGAAAGGATTTGGGGGGTTGCTTCCAGAATCACTGCGAGGACTGAGGAATCGTGGGATCCATAGTCAGGAAAAATGCCCCAAATCATGCTATAAAATGGGTCTGGAGAGCACGCTGCTTCTGCTGGTCCGTAAAGTCTGCTGGCAGTTCCACTCAGCTGTTGCCCCAGCTGCTGCTTCTCAACTGCCACTGCTCCACTCCCCAGAGAATGAGCCTCGAGCCTCCTGTCCCCACTGTTTTGGGTCATTAGTTCTTCTTTCGAGATCTTAGGCAAGTGAGTCTGAGCTTAGATCATGTGCCAGTGCCTCAGCTTCAGGAACTTTCCCAGACGCAGGAAGAAGGTTCAGTGCTGGACCAGCAAAAAGAATGAAAAATCTCTCCCATTGTGTTCCTACTGCTGGGACCTGCTGATTATGTATTTTCTCTTTGACAGAAAGTTATTCTCAATCTGAATTTAGTAATGTTTTTAAAGATATATATAGTTTTTGCATCACCACTGCACCTAAAAGCACTCCCAAGTTTTAATGTACTATTATTTTTGTGTTTGTGACTATGGTCAGTGCTTGGTTTGTATGTAAATTTGAAGACCTTACTTATCCTCCCACTCCCAGGTGTCAGATGCTCATAGTGACCAGTAGAGACTTTAATTGTCAGTCCAAGAAAACTGAGTTGACCAATCTATTCTGGTGTTCTGCCTTTCTCTGGTCCTAGAGTTTAGTTTTTTGAAATTGTTCTGAAAAGGTAAGTATGAAAAATACATTGATGGTCTGTTTTTATAAATTAAAAGCTTCATGAGCCAATTTTTACTTTCAACCTAATCAATCTAGATTAGTGTACTACACAAGTGGTATTTTCTTGTGTTTGTCCAAGACACTTTTTTTCAGATACTGTGTGTTACTGTCCGCTCTGGTTTTCTATTATTTAATAACCAGTTTTCTGAACCCATTAATCATTGCAGCCCCCAGTTGGTATAATGGAGAATATTTTCTAAAAACATCAGGGAAGATAACTGTATGGGGTTTGGATCCAGACAAACCTTGGTTTCTATTTCTGCTCTGACACTCATTCCTTGCAAGTTTGGGCAAATTCGGGCAAGTTCTTCAGCCTTTCTGAGCCTTTCTGAGTACTCTAATCTCTGTGCCCACCTACTTGAAGAGGTACACAGAACGTATAGAGGAGATGATTCTTCACGTGGGTCTGGAACTTACTGTGTCAAATACTTTCTGGCAAATATTGTTCCTTTCCTTTCCCTCTTTAAGTAACTTGTTTGTTCAAGAATTTAACTTAATGTTTTTATTTGTTTTAGTAGGTGGCAAGTGGGAGAAACCATCAGAAATTTTGGAAATCAAAGGACAGAACTGGGAAGAACAAGTGAATAGTCTGCCTGAAGTTTTCAGAAAAGCTGGTTTTGTCATCGAAGCTTTCACCAGACTGCCGTACCTGTGTGAAGGCGACATGTATAATGACTACTATGTTCTGGATGACGCTGTCTTTGTTCTCAAACCAGTATAAACATTGGAGGTCGAAGTCTTCAGAGTTCGTACCCTCCAGGATGCACCTTCCAGAAGAGGGTCTGTGTTAACAATTATGTGAAGGGAGGGCCTTTGGGGACTGTCATTCTAAATATCATGTAGGAATTTTAAAAGCCAAAATACTAATTATTTCTTTGTAGTGTCTAAAAGGAATGTTTTTAAAAAACAAAACCCAACTCTTTGTGGATTTTTACCAACTCTTTACTCAGAGTCACACTCCAATGCAGGTCACACTCCAATTATGATGGAAGATATTTTTTATACTTAATTGCAGTAGGGACTCATTCCCAGAAAAAGCAATAGTCATGACTTCATGGAACCAGTAAATGGATTGTTTTTACTAAAATGGAGACTGGCAATAAAGCTGTCCATTCAGTTGCAAATACTGATTATAAGGTATAGCCACTGATACTCTTTCATGTTTAAAAATTCTTTCTGTTATTATGCAAGAAAATGTTTTTAATCATGCTAATAAAATTTTTTGGAGATGACTTTGGCATCATGTTTGAGTTAATGTAAGGCTCCCCTAGCCTTTTTGATTGCTTTGACTTCAGGAGTACCCAAATAGTAGCATTATGTGAAAGATTCACATAACTGGAATATATGATAAGGAAGACTTCAGACTGGGGGGAAGGGGAGATCATTGCAAATTGCAGTGAATGCTGAGACAGTCTAGACATCCCTAAAAAGAGCAGCTTCATTTCGATGTACTTCAGCAACCTCCCCACTTCCCAATTAATGTCGCTTTGAAAATGCAGAACAGCAGCTGACTTTGTGATAGCTTACATCCTGCACTCTGAACTTTTTCTGGACAATCTCAGGTTCTCAGAATTGAAACATTCAGTTGTGTCTTATGACAAAATGCAACCTAAAAATGTTTTAATTCAACTTTTTACTCTACACTTGTATACCTCTTTCTTAGAACTTCACTGTTCCTGAAATCCTTAACTGAGTTTGTTTGCCAAGAATATGGTTTGATGAAGATCACTTCGAACTCATACATTCTAGAATCTGTACATGCCTCCAGTCATAAACCCTGAAATGTTGCAATAGAGAAATTCATTAGCAAGATCAATAATCATGGTGGATATTCCATGGAGCAGAGCACTTAACCCAGAATCTAAAGTCTTAGTAATGACAGAGATGCCAATATGAGATTGTGGTTATTAACAATATGTTATTCTTACAACTTTATTTCTTTTCTTATCCAGGTGTTTCATTAAGTATTCTCATTTATATGCTCATAGAATTCATCAAATCAACACATTAACTGCAGTACCTGGGTATAAAAGAGAATTAAAGCCTTGAGAAGAATTACTTTCTTATTCATTAAGAACAACGTTCCCACATCCTCACACCAATATCTTCCACTGTTATTGTCTAGTCATAATAAGAGTTGGGTTATGTGATTTATGCAAAATTGTTATTGGTGTGTTCTAATGATTTTTTTCAGGAATTCAAATACTTAGCACCCTAGATCATAAAAATAGAATGAGGAAATGAGTAAACTTAATGTAGTTCTTGTACAGTTGAGTTTTGCTTCTTTATAAACTGTCTGTCATAATCAGGGGTTGCTGTTTAGACTGTGGAACAAGAATGATGGATGTTCAAAGAGGCAGATTGCCCCAAACTATTACATAACTTTCAGGTTGAGGATAAATTTGATGGTCTTCTGAAAGAAATACAACCCATTTTTTACCAGAATGAAACCAAGCCAAATCAGAAATCACATACATTTATGCATCTTAAAGATAAAATAGTTTCTCAAGAAGATCTGAGGTTCTCTGAAGACCAGCTTATTTATTAAAAGCGCCGTTTTATGGTAAAAATTGAAAGGAGCACCTGCACTTAACATTTCCTATCTGGTCTTGAAAGTCTTGGTGCTGTGTTATCATTCCACTAGATGGCAATGTTGCTTACTGAATGTCAATGGCTTCCCCCCACCCCCCCATGGAATCCTGTTTTTTTTCCCAAAGTACAAATAAATCTGCCTTCTTGTCTGCACCATTCCTCGTGTAAGTGCTTCATATCAAGTTAAGGTTGTGCTAGAGAAATTTAGAAGAGCTCTGTTTGTGGTCAAAGCATGCTAACCAGATGACCTTAAAGGTCAATGGAGAAAGGAAATGAAAGCTACACCGTGATTCCTAGCTCCAGGCACCTGCATTATAAGCGTGTTGAGTGTTCAAGCACCTGATCTCAGAGAAGGGGAGGGAAGAATGTACAATGCCCTTAGTCATAGTTCTCCCTTGTCCAGAGTAATTAAAAGCCATACTGTATTTTCTGCCATCCTGTTAAGACCTGTCATCCATTTTTAAATAGTTGACTTTTAATAGCAAAAAATCTTGGTCCGGAAGTAATGTAAAACAGATACTACAAGTTATCTTCTGAATAAAGCTTTGTTTCCACCTACTTATGAGTATTAATGGACTTGTAATAAAGGAAGATGCCTTTATCAGTTGCTTCCCACAACTTGCTTACTGATAGAGCTGTTTCAGGATCCTTTTTCTCTAATAATGATAAGACATTTATCACGAGCTTCCAGTAGCTACAGTGACCCACCAGATGCTTGAGTATCCCCAGATTACCTTATATTCAATGTCTCCATATTATAGCTTGAAAACATGAAATCAGGGCAGTCTGGCCTGAGTTGGACTGTCTAGGAGTTCACTGAGCACAAAAATGGACTAACAATTAACTTGAGGCAATCAGGATGCTCATAAACTTATAACCAACTTATCAAAGATATAAAATAATGGATGGCCAGAAGGATATTCCCACTGTATTAAAAAATGCACCCAGAATCATTAAGTCTATAGTATTAAATCCATAGTCTGGCTTTTTGTAAG